TCATAGATTGTGTCTTAACCCCTTGCGCCACCAGGGAGGCCCCCCCTTTGATTAATTGTACTGTTCATTTCTTCTATACCACTGCTGCTTTTCTATGTAGTAATTCTGCCTATTACTGAAAGGCTATAAATGTCTCCCAGTATTATTGTGGCTTGGCTATGCCAGTTTCTTGTATCATCTTTTTTTTTTTTTTTTTTTAAGATTTATTTATTTGTTTGTTTGTTTGTTTATTTATACAAGCACTGGGTACAGTCAGAAGCGCGGGAGGGTGAGAGAATTCACCAGAGCCAGAGTGGGGAACAGAGCAGGCAGAAGGACTGAAGTACACTGCTGAGGGGGGCAGCAGGCGGCAGGAGAGGTCTGCGTGCCATGCAGGACCCTCCTCCGGTGGCCGGGGAGCAGCCAGGGATCGAACAGGCGCTGCAGAGACTGCGGGCAGCCTCACAACCCAGCGCTCAACCGCTGCGCCACTGGGGAGGCCCTCTTGTATCATCTTTATCAGTTTTTCTTTTTCCTCTTATATTTGAGTCTCTGTTGTATGTCTTTCTGGTGGACTGATATTTTCATCATCATGTAATGTTCCTCTTTGTCTATAGTTATTTTGTTTGCTCTGAAGTCTATTTACTTGATAGTGATGTAGTCACTGTGCTTTTAAAAAAATTAATGTTGAGGGGCCTCCCCGGTGGCACAGCGGTTGAGCGCTGGGTTGCGAAGATGCCCGCGGCCTCTGCTGCGCCGGTTCGATCCCTGGCTGCTCTCTGGCCACCTGAGGAGGGTCCCACATGGCGTGCAAATCTCTCCTGCCGCCCGCTGCTCCCCTCAGCAATGTGCTTCGGTCCTTCTGCCTGCTCTGCTCCCCGCTCTGGCTCTGGTGAATTCTCTCACCCCCTCCCCACCGCGCTTCTGACTGCACCCAGTGCATGTATAAACAAGCAAAAACAAACAAACAAACAAATAAATAAATAAAACATGCCTCTATTAAAAAAATTAAAAAAAAATTAATATTGACTTTGCATGTACCTTTTTCAGCCTTTTACTTTCAACCTGCCTGTGTCTTTGTATTTGAAGTTTCTTATAGACAGCTTGTCTTCTGCTAATCTATTCTGCCAATATTTTTGTCTTTGTCACTCTCAGCCTATTGACAGTAATGCAAGCAATAAAAATTTATAAGGCTTGAAATGCTGGGGGTGGTGGAGAGGCACTCATTTGGGCCTAAACTACTGTGGGAGTTCACATAGACATTTCCCCAAACAGAACCAATGTTGTAGCTGAACTGGCTCCTGTCATTCTTATCAGGGAACTTGTAGTAACAAGGTTTATTACTTACAGGTCCTGAAGTGTATGTGGCATGCTTGGGGTCACTTAGTGAAGGCACGTAGAGAGGAGGAGGCTGGGTCTGGGATTCTGCCTTTTTTGAGGTTGAGGGTGGGATTTCTAGGATTTTGAGGGTTCACACCTTATTGGTGATTTTAAAGCACTAGAATGGGAATTAAAGGTAGAAAAGGAAAAGCAGAATCACCCAGAATGATCACCCAGGGCTTTCTAAAAGGGGAACTTCTTGGGTGGGGCAGCCAGGCTCTATCTAGTTGCATAGTTGGCAATATGTTTGTTCTAGATGTATGTCTGTGAAATGGATGCCTCAGTATTTAAAAGCTTAATGTCAGCCACTTATACTATAGTCAGTCTGTTAGACCACTTATATTAAACATAATTATTAAATTATGTGAGGGCTTAAGTCTGCTATTATTGTTTTGTTTCCTTTGTTTCTCCTTTCTTACTTTTCTCCTTTCTTTCTTTGAACATTCTTTGAACATTTTTTAAAAATTCTATTTTGATGTGTTTGTAATGCCTTAATATATCACTTTGTATAGTTTGCTTAGGTGTTGCTGTAGGTATTACATTATACATCCTAACTAATCCCATCCTAATGATACCAAAATTTTATTTGTTTACTCCTTTTAGCTTCTCCTTCCCCCCAGTTTTAAATTTAATTCTATTTCATCTACATGAGGCAACTCCACTTTGGTAGACCTGGAAGTACATAGGATTGTCTTTCATCTGTCCTCTTTACTGAATTTTTATTCTGATAGTTTGTTCTTTAGTTCTAGTAGTTTTGTTTTGTTTTTTTTGTTTTTTTTTTTAAGATTTATTTATTTATACAAGCACTGGGTACAGTCAGAAGTGTGGGAGGGTGAGAGAATTCACCAGAGCCAGAGCGGGGAACGGAACAGACAGACTGACGAAATACACTGCTGAGGGGAGCGGCGGGTGCTGCAGGAGAGGTCCGCACGCGCCATGTGGGACTCTCGCCTGTGGCAGGGGATCAAGCCAGCGCTGCAGAGGCTGCAGGCAGGTTCTCAGCCCAGCGCTCAACCGCTGCACCACCAGGGGAGGCCCAGTTCTAGTAGCTGTTTTTATTACTACATTAGTCAAACCTTCCTCAAAAATGTCATTTTCACCCCTGTCTTTCTTATTTCTATACCTGTTGTTTATTTCTGTCTTACTGTCAAATAAAAAAGTTGGGCCTATTTTTTTCTACTCTTCACCATCATAATGTATATTGTTTTTATTTTGCCTGTATGTAAATTTGCTTTTACTTTTTTCCCTCTAAATTTGTGATATGGTCTGAATGTTTGAAGTCTCCACTTTTATCCAGCTGCCTGTAATTTTATTTTTTAATGCTTCAGGCATGCTCCTGTTTAAGGCCTTTCCATTTGTTTTTACCTCTGCCTGAAATGCACCCCTACCCTTACATTCATATGGTTTGCTCTCTCACCTTCCGAAAGATCTTTATTCAGATGTCACATTCTTGATAAGACTTTTCCCTGACCATACCCCTCTAAAGTTGTAATCCATCCTTTCCATCAAGTCTCCCATTCTATTCTGCACCTGATTTTCATAGCATTTATAGCCATCTAATATATTGTTTTATCTACTCACTGGTCTGTTGTCCATTTCTCTCTTGGACTATATGTACCATGAAGGCAAGACTCTTTATTTTGTTCATTGTTTTATTCAGAACAGAATCTGGCACATACAGGTGCTCAATAAGTATTTAAATATTAAACATATTCTTCTGTTTAAGCTCTTCAAGTTGGGACTGTCAGTCTAGAATGAAATTTTTTAAAATAGTTCTTTGTACCTTTTGCCATATAACTTTGGTTTTTGTTTGCTTTACTTCTTATTTGTGCCAGGTAATACTTTTCAAATGGTTTAAAATTCAAACACTAAAAAAGGGTTTGTGTTGAATAGTGTTCCTCCCACTCCCGTACTCAGGCACCCCTTTCCTCTCTTCAGAAGCAACAGGCTGGCTTTGTTGATTTCTTGACACTCCATGCAGATTGTCTCTTATGGCTTCCTAAAATGTTGATATCAAGTGACTCTATACGACAGAGTATTTTACAGTTATATCAGAACAGAGCAATCTTGTTTCCCTTTGTGCCTAATGTTCAGTCCTCCTCAATGGCCAGTGTCATTGACCATTTTTTAGTGAATGTTGCTCCCATGCTGCCTGCTGAGGGAATAAGAAAATGAATACTATTTTGCCCATGCTCTTGAAGTTGAAAATCTATGTGGAAAATGAGAAAGTACTCACACTTATAAAGTAACATGGGTTAAAAAGATCAAGATGATACGTGTGAGATAACTGAAAACACTGAATTGTCAAATGAGGTATAAATAGTAAATTCCATGAAAATTAGTTCATCAAAGCAAAGTATGAGTACACTTTAGTATCACAGAAAGAAAAGAATATATTGCGGGCCTCCCCGGTGGCGCAGAGGTTGAGCGCTGGGTTGCAAAGCTTCCCACAGCCTCTGCAGCGCCGGTTCTATCCCCGGCTGCTCCCCGGCCACCTGAGGAGGGTCCCGCATGGCGTGCAGACCTCTCCTCCCACCTGCAGCTCCCCTCAGCAGTGTACTTCGGTCCTTCTGCCTGCTCTCCTCCCCGCTCTGGCTCTGGTGAATTCTCTCACCCTCCCGCGCTTCTGACTGTACCCAGTGCTTGTATAAAAAAAAACAAAACAAACAAATAAGTAAGTAAATAAATAAAAACATGCCCCTATTAAAAAAAAAAAAAAAGAAAAGAATATATTGAATAGTCTTGAGAAGAGTGTAAAAAGAAAGGAGTATATTATTAACATTATGTGTGTACCAATATGAAATGTAAATTATAAGATCCTACTAGGCGTTTACTTCTATTCCATGAGATTTGCAAAGACAAATAATGAAGTCCTTATCTTGCAGAGAAGAGATTTTATATACTTTCAACAAAGTCGTTGAAAGGACTTGTTATTAATTAGTATCAAATTCAGTAGGAAATTAGAAAGAGATCATAGGCATTTAGAAAAATCAAGAAAAATTTTATAGGGAACTCATGTTCAAGATGGAACTTGAAAGATAAGATTTTTTTTTCTCTCTTTTTTTTTTTTAATAATAAATTTTATTTTTATATTCCCCATACAATTGCAGCCCCCCCATTCTGACCCCAATCCCTCCCCTCCCGCCCCCGCCCCCCTAAAAGTGTCTCTGGTTCATAGGAAAGATAAGATTTTTAATAGGTGCAAAAGGATAACATGGTGAAAGACTAGTAGACAGGTTAGCAGATGATATACCTCCTCTTTTTGTGAATTAAGTTTTATTAGAACACAGCCATGCTCTTTATTTATAGATTGTATCTGCTTTCATGAGCAGTTAAAACAAATCATATGTCCTGCATACTACCTGGTCCTTTACAGAAAGTTTGCTGCTTCTTGCAAGTAGACAAAATGTATGTGGGAAAGCATTATTGATAACTACTAAATAAATGAAAATGAGGTATTTATTATATTTGGAGTGGGGTGTCACTAATCCAGGGGTGGATGTGCTAAAGAGGAGTTAGCTTTGAAGGAATATGATAGGAAGAGGTAGTGGGGGCTATTCTAGGCTGGGATAATAGTTCAATAAGAGACAAATATGGCTTGTCGTTAATCATGCTTTTCTAATCTTTCCCTTACTAGTGAAGAAGGATCAAGAAGGTGGAGAAGAAAAGAAATCTGTACAAAAGAAAAAAGTAAAAGAGTTAAAGGTGTTGGATTCAAAGACATCCCAGAATCTTTGTGAGTAACTCTATGATCCTAAGTATTTGAAATATGAAGAAGTTCTTTTAAATCAGGATCCCTTGATAGAAAACTTCCATTTGTGAAGTTCCTACTGTATACTAGGCATTGCATAGTGATTTTCTGATATTTCTTTTAATTTCTTCGATAGCACTGAAAAATGCTAGTATCATTTTTTGGGCATGGAAATAGAGGCTAATAGTTTTAGGAATTTGCCTAGTTACATACCTATTAAGAGACAGGTCTGGGATTGGAAGCTTAGATTTTATTTTAAAGCCCTTATTATTTCCATTGCAGTATTCCTTTTTTTTTTTTTTTTTAAAGATTTATTTTTTTATTTTTTATTTATTTTTTATACATGCACTGGGTACAGTCAGAAGCGCAGGAGGGTGAGAGAATTCACCAGAGCCAGAGCAGGGAGCAGAGCAGGCAGAAGGACCGAAGTACACTGCTGAGGGGAGCAGCGGGCGGCAGGAGAGGTCTGCGCGCCATGTGGGACCCTCCTCCGGTGGCTGGGGAGCAGCTGGGGATTGAACCGGCGCTGCAGAGGCTGCAGGCAGCTTCGCAGCCCAGCGCTCAACCGCTGCGCCACCGGGGAGACCCTTTTTTTTTTTTTTTTTTTTTAAGATTTATTTATTTTTATACAAGAACCAGGGTACAGGCCAGATGTGCGGGAGGGTAAGAGGATTCACCAGAGACAGAGCTGGGAACAGAACAGGCAGACTGATGAAGTACACTGCTGAGGGGAGCAGCGGGTGAGACAGGAGAGGTCTGCTTTGCCATGTGGAATTCTGGCCGCCTGGCCGGGATCGAACCCACACTGCAGAGGCTGCGGATGGACAGCTTCACAGTGCGGCACTCAACCGCTTGCGCCACCAGGGAGGCCCTCCATTGCAGTATTCTAACCACTGTACATTTCCTTCTTTCTCACTTTCTTTAAAATATTTCCTTTAAATATAGGGTGTGGCTTGATTTCAGTTAAATCTAAAATAACTTTGTGGTTTAGAATAATGTAAATCTGTTAAAGAGTAGCTCCTAAGAGTTCGGTTACAGTGTTCTTCCTATTCACATATTTGTTCAAATATTTGAGGGTCTGCCCTTTTCTGTTAAATACAAGGCGGGCCTCCGTGGTGGCGCAGGCGATTGAGCACAGTGCTGTGAAGCTGTCCACAGCCTCTGCAGTGCCGGTTCAATCCCCACCAGCCGCGGAGCTACCCACATGGGTGTGGCAGACCTCTCCTGTCTCACCCACTGCTCCCCTCAGCAGTGTATTTCAGTCAGTCTGCCTGTTCTGTTCCCCAATCTGTCTCTGGTGAATCCTGTCACCCTCCCACATGTCTGGCCTGTACCCCAGTTCTTGTATAAATAAATAAATCTTTAAAAAAAAAAAGTAAGTTCAAGGCATTTGTTCCAGAGATAAAAGGATATATATTCCATGAAGCCCCCTCACAATCTTACAATGTAGCTATTGTTCCCATTTTTCAAAATGAGGAAATTCTAAGTTCAGAGGTGATTTGACAAGGAATGAGTATGCATACCAGTAGGTAAAGCCAGTGATACAATGAGATCAGTAAGACTTAGATTATTGACAACAGATGTTACTTAATAATGTCAGTAGGTAAGTCCTTTTATGGAGACTAATAATGAAAGGTCATTTTCCTCTTAAAGATTTTTTGTAGGAACATAATACTTGTTATGAGTAACAGCTATTGTGTTAACTTCAGGGTAGTGCATTGTTTTCCACGTGAGTGATAGCAATATGGAAGACAGTTGAAATATTCAGGAAGACAGTTGAAATTTGCTTAGGGCAGAATAGTCAAAGAAATGTAATTTCAATATTCACCAATGAAGTGCTTTTATATGCTATGGGAAACTGTGTAAGGCATAGTACCTATCTTCGTGAACCATATATTTGGTGGAGACAGATAAATAGATAATGGTAATAGCATGGATTGATAAAGCAGTGATGGAGGTCTACTAGGATCTCTCGGAGAGAACTAGAAAGAAACATGGAAATCAAGTGAAGGCGCCGTCCTAGAGGTCATTCTAAAGGGGGTACTACTTAAACTGAGTTGAAAGAAGTATTAAAAATAGATTAAGTGAAGAATGAGAGCTGGTTTGTTTCAGGCAACGGGATAAGTATTTATGAAGCCATGGAGGTTTGAGATACATGCAGTTCAGGAACTACAAGAAATATTGTACAGCTGAGTAAAGGCGATACCTGGGGGAGTGTTGGAAGCTAAGTCATAAAGAATTCTTATGGAGTTAGGCTAAGATGTATGTTTTAACCTGAAAACTTATGGAAGTTATTAAGGAAATTTTAATCAGAAAAGTGAGTGATAAAACCCTGTGTGATTGTTGAAGATATTTACTTCAGTGTTGATTTTGATGCTGAGTTGGTAGGGTAGGGTAAGACTATAGGCAGAGAGGTGAATTATGTTATTACTTTAAACTAAGTGAGAGGGGATCTGGGCCTGAAACTCCAGCAGTAAAAATGTATAGGAAAATAGAAAATATTAGGAAGGTAAGATTAATGAAACTTAGTGATTGAGGGTTTAGAAGACAATGTGTTTTCTGTGTTTATATCACTGTACAGAAAGTGGTACCATTTACTGCAATAGGGAAATCCAGCAGTGGCACATTCTCTCTGTCTTTTGGGAAAGGAGTGGTAGGAAGTGGGTATGAATGAGAAGTGGCAGGATAGTGGGTAGAAATGATTAATTTTAGCATTGAATATAAGGAGCCTGGGGGACTCCTCCAAAAGGCATTGGCGTATAGAAATGAGGAGGAACGTTGGCTGGAGATTTGAATTTAGGAGTCAGCATATGAGTCATAGTTGAAACCATGGGGATTTGCTTTGAAGGCCACTAATATTTAAGGAGCAAATAAAGAAAAAGGGAGACTCAAAGGAGACTAGAAAGGCACAGCAAAGAAAAAGAGTCCTAAGAGTATTCAGCAGTGTCAAATGAAGACACAAGGGTCAAATGAAATGAGAACAGGACAAGTATTCTTTGGATTTGACATTCGAAAGTCAGAAGCTTTAAGTAAGGGCAGTTTTAGTATAGTATAGGAGTTAAGAGTAGAGACTCTGGAACCCATTTGTACTTAAAACCAGGCTCCAGCCTTTACTTAGCAATGTGACCTTGAATGGGTAGTTTAAGTTCTTTACATATTAGTTCTTTTCCTGTCAAATGGGGCAAATAACACAAATTTACAAGGATAGTATTAATAGGGTTAAATGAGATCATGTATGTAGATTATGTTTAAAGGTACTATATCTCACAAGAAATACTCATTCAATAAATGATATCTTTTCACTGACTTTGTGGACACAGAAGAATAAATGAGACCCACAGAAATGAGAGAGATTTGTATTATTAGAATGTTGTAAAGTGGAGGAAAGAGGGATGTTGGTAGCTAGGTACATTGGATCAGGGAAGGTTTGTGGGGTTTCTTGTTCTTGTTTTAAGGTAGAAGAGACTTGATTTTATATATGTATTCTTAAGGAAAAGATCTTCAGGCCCACCTGTTCTATTGAAGCATGATGACCTTATGGGTATAATTGCTGATAAGTTTACAGAAGTATTGGCACAAGTTTTCTTCTAGGTGATTCCAAAATTGTCCTTATCCAAGCCTTTACTCATCTGGCCCTAGCTGAGGGCCCCCCCAATGCTCAGTTTGTAAGGGGCATAAGAGAAAACTTAGCAATTAATTTGACTGGTGGTTTAAATTTTTTCAGAGGAGTAAGATCACCTTAGAACAAATGGAAGTGGTCGGACAGTTGGGAGATGGGGACTGTTTTTGGTTTTTTTTTGAGATGGAGATTTTTGAAGGAGTTGTCAAGAGTGTGTAGGAGGGGAGAGGAAGGGAGAGAGAAAAGGGGAGAGGGTTGAGGAGGAGAAAGAGACACTGAGGCCTGATGAGGTTGAAAAGGGATTCAGAGATCAAATTTAATAGTGAGCTTACTGAAAGGATGAGGAATTGTTTCTTAGGGAATGGGATATGGCCCCTTAAGTTCAGAGCATTTCAGGTGATGGCAACTTTTGAGAAAGGAGTTGTGGGAATGGGGAGCTAAAATAGAGTGGGGTGAATGTCTTTGATGAAGAAGAGAAGATCAAATACTTCCTGTGTGAGCTGAGGCAAGGAGTCACTCACAGTGTTTGTGGAACATGGTGCTTGGGACAGTGTAGCTGGTGTGGGACATACATGTGGGGATTACTAACAAAGAATGCTGGGAGGTAGAGACCTTAAATACTGGATTTTAACAACATAGGCACAGAGAAGCTGTTGGTTTCTGATAGTGACTTCAAAAAGCTCTCTTAGGAAAATTGTGCAGTATAGGCTCTACTTATAGGATGGGCTAGAAGGGGAAGAGACTGAAAAAGAATATATCTCATTTTCTGGCAGCAATCTTCCTGGGTTCCTTCCGCATGCCCTATCAAGAGATTAAGAATGTTATCCTGGAAGTGAATGAGGCTGTTCTGACTGAGTCCATGATCCAGGTAAGGAGCGTGCTCATTCTACTGGAGCTGACCATGCACTACTGTACACTAGCCTCATCTCTCTGCCTCTGGCTTATTAACTTAAAGAATGTTAGCATTCAGTAAGTTTCCAGCTCTGGTGGTCAAGTTATTTCTGCTATAGTTTTCAGAAGGCCCACCATTGACCAGCTGCCTCTCCCTTCCTCTAGCCCAGCCCCTGTTTTCTTCTTAGTGGTTCTTGGGCAAAGTGAGGGACTGACAAGAGAGCAAAAGCGCTGTTTGGCTCAAGCTATCAGCTCATCCCCTCAAACTGAGACAGCCCCTTTCTCTTTCAGAACCTCATTAAGCAGATGCCAGAGCCAGAGCAGTTACAGATGCTTTCAGAACTGAAGGACGAGTATGATGACCTGGCTGAGTCAGAGCAGTTTGGCGTGGTGGTGAGTGAGGCCCTTGCATTAGGCACTTCTCCAGCCCTTGCTCCCTCCTCTCCCAGAGCAGTCTCTTCCTGGCTCCTGTGTCCCCTACTCTTTGAGCCTTTCTTTATATTTATCTTCTCCTTAGTCTGGAAATAAGATCCTCCCATTGGAGTCTCAGACCTGTATCTTTTTCCTACTTTCTCTGTTGACTGTAATGGAATGCTTCTCTTCTCCACCAGATGGGCACTGTTCCCTCCCTGCGGCCTCGCCTCAATGCCATCCTCTTCAAGCTGCAGTTCAGTGAGCAGGTGGAGAATATCAAGCCAGAGATAGTTTCTGTGACTGCTGCATGTGAGGAGCTGCGAAAGAGCGAGAACTTCTCTAAGCTCCTGGAGATTACCTTGCTCATCGGCAACTATATGAATGCTGGCTCTAGAAATGCTTGTGCTTTTGGCTTCAATATCAGCTTCCTCTGTAAGGTGAGCCTGGGTGAGAGCAGGGCATTAAAAGGGAAAGCTGCTGGCTCTCTCAGGAGCCCAGTATGACTAAATGCTATTGGCCTGAGGTAGTCTTGAGTAGACAAAGACCAACCATTTCTCCTCTTCCTCCAAGCTTCGAGACACCAAGTCCGCAGATCAGAAGATGACATTGTTGCACTTCTTGGCTGAGTTCTGTGAGAGTGACTATCCAGATGTCCTCAAGTTCCCAGATGAGCTTGCTCATGTGGAGAAAGCCAGCCGAGGTGGGGCAGGTTGGGGTAAAGCTGGAATGCATTCTAAACCCCAAAAATCTCTGCATGGGGAGGGAAACAAAAACACAGTCTAGATTTGCAGATCATTATCAGTTCAGATGGTCCTAAGTGGAATTGGGAGAGGGCTTAGGCATGGCAGAAGAGAAGTCTTCATGTCTAGAAATGGGAAGCGCTTTCCTTCCTAGGGTAGCATGGGACATCAGAAAACAACTGCAAGAAAGTCAGGTATTTTTAGACTTTCAGAAAGATCAACTGAATTAGCAAAATTCAGGCCTTACCAGTAGAAATGGGAACACACTTCTGCCCTGCCTTTGTATATCTCTGTATATCTCCTTCCTCCTAAGTCCGATTCTGTAAAATAAATGAGACCAAGAGCCCAGGGGATTTTGTAGAATCTTATTAAATTAAATGAAGTTTCTCTTCCCTTCTTAGTACTTACTGTACGGCTTGTGGAGGCTGGAGAGTCAGTCATCAAGTTATTTATAGTTGCTCTGGAAAGATGTGTGAAACAGTTAGAAAGTACATCAGGGAACTAAACTAATGAAGTACCAGATGGATGTCTAGAGCTGAACCTGAAGGGCAGAAGGTCTGGATTTAATATGCCCTTGCTGTTTGTTTTTGTAATTTCTTTAGTTTCTGCTGAAAACTTGCAAAAGAATCTAGATCAGATGAAGAAACAGATTTCTAACGTGGAAAGAGATGTTCAGAAATTCCCACCTGCCACAGATGAGAAAGACAAGTTTGTTGAAAAAATGACTATATCCTTTCTGGAGAGGAGAGAATTGCCCCTTAAAAGGGAAAGCAAACTTCCTATGGAGGAAACAAACCATGCAGATAAATTAAAAAATGACCTTGATCTCCTGCCCTCTGCCCTGTCTCTTGTACACACACACACCCCTATTCCCCTTTCTCTCCCCTTCCCCAAAGTAACCACTGCCTCTGGACTTCTTTCTGATTTGCATCTCATGAATTTGTCTTTTAAAAAGTTATATTGTATTGCTTTTTGCACATAGTAGGTTCATAGCAATATATGCAGAATATCCCCTTTTTAATTGCCACTTCCTATTCTATAAGTGTTTACTATTCCCCTATTTTGGGTATTTAGATAGCTCCTGGCTTTTGTTATTATTAATGCTGTACTGAACATATTTGTGCCTGCCACCATGTGTCTGTGATTGTTCCTTTGAGCTGTCACTTCTGGTCCTTCACTCCTTGGCTGCACAGCTTTGTGAAGGATGCACAGGAACAGTACAACAAGCTGCACATGATGCATTCTAACATGGAGACCCTTTATAAGGAGCTGGGCGAGTACTTCCTCTTTGACCCTAAGAAAGTATCTGTGGAAGAATTCTTCATGGATCTGCACAACTTTAAGAATATGTTTTTGGTGAGCAAGGGATACCTGTTGACTGAGTCTTTTGTGAGCAGTTCTCTCTGCACTGGGTTCATGTTGGTCAGTGGTAGGTGTGCATATGTATGAACGCATCCGTGCTCACATGGTCATTGTTGTCTCCCCCCAGCAAGCAGTCAAGGAGAATCAGAAGCGGCGGGAGACAGAGGAAAAGATGCGTAGAGCAAAACTCGCCAAGGAGAAGGCAGAGAAGGAGCGGCTAGAGAAGCAGCAGAAGAGAGAGCAGCTCATAGACATGAATACAGGTAAGAAGTGAAGGGGAAGGGCTGATGGGCTGAGATAGGAACATTTGGAGGCTTCTCTGTCTGGAATCTAGAGGCCTGAGGGAACAGCTCATATCTAGTTCAACTCCTGGCAAATGATTGTTGGCAGTCTTCTGTCTCCGAGAACCTGATGCTGGACTTTAACCCCAGCTCAGTTACATACACAGTCCAGTTCTCCATGCCCAAATCTTTCTCTCCATTGCTGGTTCCCGCATTATGCCTCATCTCCCTGGTGATTTTAATATTGCTGTAATACAGACTCTTTCCTTCTGTTTGTCCAAAATTTCCTCTGGCATATTTTCATATTCTCTGCTAAAACTTGTTTTTTTCCCAAAAACATTTTCCTTGCCATGCTCCCATTTCTTAATGGTGGCTGGCCCTCCCTTTCTGCTTATCTTACTAAGGATTTTCCCCAACACAGTGGGACATACCTATCAGATTGTAAAAGGATTGAACTTCTAGAAAGAGGGCCAGAGAACTGACCACCCTCTTTCTTCAGCAGAATCTCTATTTCACTAACAGAAGCATGTCTTTGTTGAAACATATGGCCTCAATTACTGGCCCTCTGTTTCCTGTCTCTGCTGCTTTCCTGCTGCTGATTCCCTGCCCCCCCTCTGGCAGCTCTTTATGTGGGCAGCGGAAATACAGCATACACTGCTGACAGCACTGAGCTGATGCCACCCTTCACAGACTTGAGGGGCTCCAAGCACTGAAAGGGTTCTCAGGGCTGCAGTATCTGTCAAGAATCCATGGGCTTTGCTGTACACAGAAGCCAGGTGCTGCTCTGATACTTCTTGTTCCCAGGCACCTAAAGCAGCAGGAACAGCCTTCATTTCTGTCTTTATACTTTTCTGGGAAGCATTTTCCCCATTCTTGCCACAGTTGTATCTAAGCCACAGACTCTTCTAGTAATGCTGTTAATCAAGTATCTTTCACCTTCCCCTTTACTCTTAAGACTGCTAGGGTTTGACCCCAGATACTGTGTAGGATGCCTGAGGGACATGTGGGGTGAGAGCTGTACTTAGTCATCAGATGGCGCAGTGGACCTAGATCTGGCTGGGCCCCCAGGGCAAGCAAATGAGGTTGGAATGTAGGTCAGCTGCACTGGTAATGTGCAGCCAGCAGGTGGCGCTGGGAGCAATGAGCCCAGCCTTGTCGTTGGCAGCCAGCCTGCTCCTTGGGATTTCACAGTTCCAGATTTCACGACCCTGAGCTGTTGCCATGGAAACAGAGTCAGGCTGGAACAGAGATTCTACATTAACTCTTTGTATTCCAGCCAGGATGTTTCTCCTTGACGCCAAGCTTGCTTCAGAAAGATGCAACTTCCAGGGGCAGCATTTATTTGTTTATTTATTTATTTTAACAGAAGAGGGAACACTTCCAAATTCTTTTTTTTTATTTTTTTTTAAGATTTATTTATTTATTTATGCAAGCACTGGGTACAGTCAGAAGCGCGGGTGGGTGAGAGAATTCACCAGAGCCAGAGCAGGGAGCAAAGCAGGCAGAAGGATCGAAGTACACTGCTGAGGGGAGCAGCGGGCGGCAGGAGAGGTCTGCGTGCCATGTGGGACCCTCGCTGGTGGCTAGGATCAAACCGGCGCTGCAGAGGCTGCAGGTGCAGGCAGCTTCATCTTCTCTCAGCTCTGAAACCTGAACCAGGTTCTTCAAAAGGCATTTATGTAAAGTGGAGTGAAAAATTTAGGATAAAAAGGAAATTACATAGTTCCTTAATAATTTCAAAGTCTTAGTGTGCATGCTTATCTTCACCTTGGATAATTCTGCAATTCTGCAGTTCTGTGTGTTAATCTTGATTGGGATGGGGAGACGGACTTTGCAGGAAAATCTGCAACCAGTGAAACCTTTTGTTTTAACCATTTGTTTTGTTGGGTTTTTTAAGATTGATATATTTATGATTATAAGAACTGGGGTAGACCTCCTTTTCTGTGGGAGTGAGAAGATTCACCAGAGACAGAGCAGGGAACAGAACAGGCAGATTGACTGAAATACACTGCTGAGGGGAGCAGCGGGCGAATCAGAAGAGGTCTGCTATGCCATGCGGGTAGCTCCCTGGCTGGGGATTGAACTCATGCTTCAGTGGCTGCAGATAGCTTCATAGGTTGCATCTTAACCCCTTTTGCCACCAGGGAGCCCCTATTTTAACTGTTTTTAAACAGATATAAGTAAACCTGAGCTGTCCTTCTGCTCTAAGCGCTCACGCACTGTGGGCAAGGGGCAGCTAAGCAGTAGCATTTTGTGTGGGGTCAGCACAGGCATGCTGCTCAGGCTGAAGGGCTTACGTCTCCATCTTTGTTCATGACAGAGGGTGATGAGACAGGTGTGATGGACAGTCTTCTGGAAGCCCTGCAATCAGGTGCAGCATTCCGACGAAAGAGAGGACCCCGTCAGGGTAAGTAAACAAATGGAACCCAGCCTGGGTGTTGAATGGGATAAGGCCTCTGCTCCTGGTCTTGCTTGTCTTGGGCTGAAGAGCAGGTAATGAGGTTCTAATGATTTAGAAACTTCTCCACAGTATTCTCTGTATCTAGAGTCAATATCTAGTTTTCTTTTTTTTTTAAAAGATATATTTATTTATGCATACAAGAGCTAGGGTATAGCCAGAGGTGCTGGGGGGTAAGAGGATTCTCCAGAGACAGAGTGAGGAACAGAAACAGGTGGATCTACTGAAATACACTGCTGATGGGAGCAGTGGGCCAGACAGGAGAGGTCTGCTGTGCCATGTGGGTCACCTCCCAGGCAGGCCGGAATATCGAACTCATGCTGGCTGGCAGTAGCTTGACGGCACTGTCTTTAACCCCTGTGCCACCAGGGAGGCCCCAATATCTAGTTTTCACCCTCCCATGTTGGAAAGTAATGATATGGAGAGCTAGGACTTGAGGGACTTACAGCAGTGAGCTTACATTTGATTATTCTTGCATTTCTCTATTCCTGAAGCAGGAACATGGAGTAATAAACAAACCATGGCGCAGAACAGAGATTTCGGTGGATGTTGAGTATATGAAGAAAAATTGATCTAAATACGAAACTGTATGTTAGATACAGGAAATACAAAGGAAAAAGTCAGGAGTCCTCATTTAAATTCACTATAGAGAGGATAATGGAAAGCATAAAATCTTCTAAAGAAGAGGTTCGATGTTGTTATTCCAGATGTTAGAATCTAGGGAGCATCTCCATGGAAGGAGTGTGCTATGTCTGAAAACCTTTTCTGTGGGTGCAGTTAGCCTCCACTGCCCTTGCCTGTCCCCATTTACTCCCTCGCAATCTCCTCTCCCAACCTTCAAAAGACTTAAGAGGATTACACTGACCCTAAAAATAATTATAGGGATAAGAGGACAGATAATCCAGGCACTGGTATAGGGCAGGATCAGTGTATGATAAGTTTCTTTTGAGGGAAGCATACAGTGGCCAAGATACTAGTCCAAAAAGCGTATCACCAAGGCTAACTCTCATGTGAAGTTGCCTGCCCCTGTGTGTTTGGTAAAGGCATTTGGGGCTAGGAGTGATGGCTTCTTTAAGGGTGTGGGAATTAAAGAAAAGGCATCAGTAAGGGTTTCTACTTCTGAGGAATTTTTTTTTTTTTTTTTAAAGATTTATTTATTTATTTATACAAGCACTGGGTACTGTCAGATCTACTTCTGGGAAATTCAAAGCGATATTCCCTTTTCCCTAGCTGGTGGCTTGGGAATTCTGTAGGCCTATTTGATATGAGCTTCACTTTAAGGTTATTGTAAAGAGGAGTTTTATGGCTTGTTTTGGCTAGTATTTATATTAACACATTGGCACCTGAAGGCCTATAGTACCTGCCTATAGTACCTGCCACAGCCTATAAATGGGATGTTATAACTCAGGTAGCAAACGCTAGTCCCCATAAACTCAGCGTCTTGATCCAAATGCCGAGATCACTTAATTTTGTCTGTAATATCCAGCTGTTTATTTCTAGCCATACTCTGAATACCCCAGGGGAAATTCCCTTCTAAGGGCTCTTCTGTTTGACTTCAGAACCTTCCCTAAACAGAAGCATACTTTCTGTTACAACTCTTACTCGTCATCTGGCATCCTCTGAGTACAGGCTCTCTTGAGAGGAAGAGAGGTGAATTTGATGAGTATAGAACTTCCTGGGATAAGAGTGTTTAGCCTTATAAATCCATTTTTGGGTAGAAAACAGTGTTTCCTTTGTTTTCAGGGTTCTTGAAGCATTGTTTTCCTACCCACTGTATGGGGTGAAGTGGCCTTAGATTAAGCATTTCTAACTCAAGTACAATTGCATCTCACTGTTTTCCTCTGCCTTCTCAGCTAAGTGTCAACCTGTATCTGGCTTTTGGTGGGGAATTCCCTTTCAAGCCTCTTCCTGTGGAAGTCTGTTAGACTCCCAGATGCTTCCTGTACACAGGCAGACATGCCTGGCTTCCCTCTGCTGGGGAAGCCCCGTTTGCCACTTCTTTCCAAATGGGAAACCAGGAACTCCAGGCAAAGGAAGCAGGGATTTTGGTGGAACCTAACCTTTTAGCAGAAGGCCTGAATTAGAGTCCTGTTTCTCAGTGTAAGAAGGAATGGGGGGAGACTTACTCTAGGATGTCTTGAGGCCAAAAGGTGAAAATGGGAACTACATACTTTTTAAGTTGCTTCCATCTTGTAACCTTACCTTTCTAAGCTCTGGGTTCATGAAATACACCTGAACATATCTAAGAGACTCTCAGGGGACACATTTCTGGTTACTCCATAAGTTCTTTAGACCTTGGTGCCTTCACGGCATATAAAACAATATAGCATTACATTAGACGTTAACAGAAAGCAAAGCATCAAAAAAGACTGCAAAGAATATAGGACTAGGTTGGGAGCAAAAGACCCAAGTCAAGTCTAACTTTGGTGCTGTCTACATACTACCTTAGATAAGTTACTTAGTGTTTCTGGAACTCAGTTTCTTTTTCTTTTTTTCTTTTTTTAAGGTTTTTTTTTTTTTTAAGATTTATTTATTTATTTATACAAGCACTGGGCATAGTCAGAAGCACGGGAGGGTGAGAGAGTTCGCCAGAGCAGGGAACAGAACAGGCAGACTGACGAAACACACTGCTGAGGGGAGCAGTGGGTGCGGCAGGAGAGGTCTGAGCCATGTGGGACCCTTGCCAGTGGCCGGGGATCGAACCGGCGCTGCAGAGGCTGCAGGCAACTTCACAGCCCAGTGCTCAACAGCTGCGCCACCAGGGGAGGCCCAAGATTTATTTATTTATGATTACAAGAACTGGGGTACAGGCCAGAGGTGTGGGAGGTGAGAGGATCCACCAGAAACAGAACAGGGAACAGAACAAGCAGATAGAACAAAGTACACTGCTGAGGGGAGCAGCGGGCGAGTCAGGAGAGGTCTGCTGCACCATGTGGGTAGCTCCTTGGTAGGGGATCGAACTCGTGTTGCAGAGGCTGAGGACAGCTTCACAGTGCTGCGCTGAACCCCTTGTGCCACCAAGGAGGCCCTGGAACTCAGTTTCTTAATGCATAAAATGAGAGATGGACTGAAATGATCTCTAAGGTCCTTTCCAGCTTTAATATTTTTTCAAATTGTAAGGGCTCTGATGGTTGTAGGTTTCCCTTGGTGGCCACTGGCCTTAGCTGGTCTTTCTCTTGCTTCGTTGCCTTTGACTATTCCTCCTGGCCTAATTGCTTTGAGCCAGAAGAGAGAAGCACTATCAGACAGATATGCCTTATAGCTCTCCTCAGTGCCAGAGAGGCAGCTGTCCCTATTCAAAGACACTAGCCTTTTCCCTAGAATTTAAAGGAATGTTAAAAAAAAAATCTTCCGGTCTCTGGAGACCTGACAGAGTAACCAGTATACAAAGATCCATTGAGCAGTGGGAAGAGGAGAGTTACTATCAGGACTGGTTCATTCAGAGTGACATGTAAACTGCTGTGGTCTGCAGGGTGTGGGAGGACAATGGTTTGAGTGTCAAGGGGAAGAATCCATCTGATTGTATTCTAGCTACTGTTTCAAGCTGATGATTGAGTCAGCTTACGGTTTTAATGACTCAACTCTATCTCGATGTCTGAATTGTGGCCTCTTATACACAGGGCATCTGCTCACTGGGGTAAGTCAAGGGAAGAAAGACATTCATCACACTCTCCATTTCTTTCCCTCTACTACTTCTCAGCTTCCCTCTAAACTCTACCTATAGCAATAGAACCTTGGTAGGGAAAGATTCTAAAGCTCTCTAGTGACTGGCATGTAATTTCCTCATAGGCAAAAGGCATTAAGACCCAGCTAAGATCTTATTCAGGTCTACAGAACCAGCTAATGTTGGAACCAGAACTGTAGCCTGCTACTGTGAATTCAAGTTCAGGCTGTTCCCACTAAACCTGTGTGATTGGACAGAGATGACAGTGACCCCTCTCTGGGTAGGCCAGAAACATTCCTGTATACCTTCCGGCAAGGAATCCTGGACACGGTGAAATTGCTTCAGGGAAGTTTTGTGATGTCCACCTGTCTAGAGAAGGCTAAGAATATTTCTTACACCACCACTTATTCTGCCCCCACTTAGTAAAAATAGGACATGATTTCTAATTAGGAGAATTCTAGACAATAATGAGTTCTTTAGGATGGTAATCATTGCCCCATCTGTCCTAGTTTCCTCTTCCCTAAGGGAAGCTTATTAACAAGAGTACTTCCTCTTTAGTAGTAGTTCCTAGTCTGTGGTTTATGTCTTTTCCAAGTCATTGACCTTTTCTAATTCATTTGTACTGGTGTTACATGGTTGGTTTTGTTGGTGCTTTTATCCTAGCCCACCCTTAACTCCCAGGAATCTGGCCTCAGAGAGCTTTGACCAGTGTCTCAAGATTGCTGCCCTTTCTCCCCAATCTGTGGATCTGTTCCCTTATGAGTTAATATTACCCCCGATTCTGTCAAAATATGTGTCTGTTTCTGTGGCTGCTTTTCAGGAGTCTAAACAAGTACCCAAGTTATGGAAAGGAGAGGAAAGGCCAGTTTTTCTGGATTATTCATGCTTCATAGTGTCATTGTGATCCTGATGAAAGAGAAAGCTGGGGTTCCTCCATTCTGCTGATTCTGATGCCAGTTCCAACAAGGGCTTTCTTATTTCTGTGTCTGACCTTAGGCCACGTCATGCCCATCTCTCGTGTACCTATTTTCTAGACTTAAAGGGAAAGTTTTGGTCTTCACTCCACCTACTATCCCCTCCTAGTTTTTGGTGAAATCTATAATCCCTCATAAGCTCTTTTGAATCTAGAAAAATGTAGAAACACTGTTTGAATTATATACGCCTGGTATCTTCTTAAGTTTGGAGGAAGAAACCTAGAGAAGCAGTCATGCTCAGACTGTGATTTCTCCCTTGTTACCCAGAATAAGTAATCCAATGTTCTTTTCCCTAGGATTTGAGGCAGAAGTTATTTCATCATATACATACCCCTCAAATCATTCTCTCTCTCTCTCTCTCTCTCTCTCACACACACACACACACACACACACACACACTGTAACTCATAGTTGTATTTTCTAACTGAATCCTAAGGAGCAATGAAGTGATACAAAGCCACTGCCTTTCTGGACATGAAAAGTAGGATCCTAGATGAAAGAATATTTCAGAAAATAGCAGAAACTGTACTGAGGAAGATTTTGCTGGCAAGACGAGAAAGGAAGGAAAGGGAAGTATCTACAAGTAGACCATCCTAGTCACATTCCAGTGAGCACCTTTTCTTCCCATCAGTCGTGGAGGCAGCATGTGTTCATGATCCAGGGAGTGGTGTGTGTGAGACCCCCGAGTCTGTGACCTAATAACCAGATAGGCCCTATGCCTGTCAGTCAGGGCCTTCACTCTTGTCTTTCTTCTTATTAGATAATCCCTTGTGCCCCTGGGAGGAGGAGAAGGAGGTGGAGACCTGTAAACTGGTAATCTGTGGGCATGCTAGTGCTCCCTGCTGACCCACCGGTGGGGCCTCTGCTGTGTGTACACGGTAGCTCTGGGTCATGTTTCTATAGACTGACAGCCTTGATGAAGGCCTGAGCCCTCTGATCCCGTTTGGCCTTACTTAAAGCTTTTTGCTGGTTTGAAGAAAGCAGAGGTGCTCTGGGTGCTTTATTCACTGGCTTCTCTGGATCTTTATTCCTGCTCCTGCAGTCTTCTTACAGCAGTGCTAGGCTTCTGTTCCTGCTTCTTTAACACTTAGGCACAGCTTTCCCCACACAGCGTTGTTTTGTCCCCAGCAAGATCTTTTTTCTTTTAACTGAGATATGATTCACACACAAGTATTCAATACAGTGTTTTTTAGTATACTCATAAGATTGTGCAAACATCACCACTACCTAATTCCAGAACATTTGCATCACCCCATCCATACCCATTAGCAGTCACCCCCCAGTCCTCCCTCCCCTTCCCCATGAATCTGGCAACCATGGATCCACTTTCTGTCTCTATGGATTTGCCTATTCTACACATTTTGTAGAATTGGAATTATAGCATACGTGGGCTTTGTGTCTGATTTGTTTGTCCCCACCCCACAGCCAGCAGCTCTCTGTGTACAGGCAGTCCCTCCAAGCTGCCTTCAGGGCATGCGAAGAGGCAGACAGCATGAGGTGGGGCTGGTCAGTTCCAAGGAGCTGCCTTCATATTGAGGATACTGGGGCCATAAATCTGGATTCCATAAATAAATATGAGCACCTGGGGGATAAGCTCCTAATAGTTAGAACAGAAACTCAGGGTTGATTGGGTCTTTCCTTCTGTAGGATGACAGCTGGATCTTCATGATCCCTTAGCCTACTGGGCTGAGATTTCTTTGTAGACGCTTCTCCTGGCCATCCTGATGCTAGCTCAGCCTTCCCTGACACACCTTTCATACACCAGGCACATACCTGAACGCTATGTAGGGCCCTTAACCATTTGTATCACCGCTCCTACTCATGAGAGGGGGGAGAGCGCTAGGCATGTGGGTATCTGGGGAGGAGAAAGAAGGGTTAGTAGGACGCGTGGAAGTGTGACGGGCATGTGATGGCAATGTGCGGCTGTTGCTCTTTGCAAGGGCCACTGCAGCAGCCTGCTGGCGGCCTGCTGCTTGGGACAACCCTCCACCTGACTGAACACCTTTTTGTGCCTAGGAGCTCCCTTGGAATTGCCAAGAAAACAAAAATACTGTTTACCAATCTGGAACCTATTTAATTCCCACAGTGCTATGATGAGAAAAGAGGTTTAGAGTATTTTAGCTCTCTTCAAGTTACGTAGCACTTGAACCAAGTTCTGTCCAAATGTATGTAAACCTTTGTATGTTTTCCTACCTGCACCATACTCTTCTCTGCCCTTCTCCCCTAAAAGTCTGTTCAACATGTTCTTGATATCTGCCCTTTCTTCTTCAAAATAACGTGGCCCCTGTAAACCAGACAGGATTGTTACATGTGCATGGCTTCTGGCCCACTGTCTGCCAGAGTTCAGAAGGAAGGACACTGGGCCTTCTGTGGACAAGATCTCTTGTGTCTTCTCTTGCAGCCAACAGAAAGGCCGGGTGTGCAGTCACATCTCTGCTAGCCTCGGAGCTGACCAAGGATGATGCCATGACTTCTGTTCCTGCCAAGGTGGCCAGGAACACAGAGGGAATCCCCACAATCCTTGAGGAAACCAAGGAGTTGGTCGGCTGTGCAAGTTAATCTGGGTTCTGTGGCCACGGCAGCTTCCATGGAGCACCAGGCTGTTCTGTCCTGCAGCATGAGCTTGAAGGGTGATGGACACGTTCCTCTGGGGTGGCCACTCCCATCACCCCAACCCAGTCTCGCTCTCTGGCCTGCTGCTCTCTGTACATCATATACAGCTTCAGCTCTTCAGTTGCCTGAAGTCCAGGAGGGAAGAGTAGTGTGGGGTAGGCCTGAGTCCAACCCAGCTAGCCCTGGCTGCTGTAGTACCAAAGCAGGCTCCGTGATTGCTGCCTTAACCCCAAGTGTCTCCTCTGTTACTCTGAGGCCTTGTCTCAGACAAAGCCCCGCCAGCTTTCTCAGCCCCAACTTTGAAGTGGGCTTGCCCCTAGGTCAGTCTTGCCAGGTTTGTGCTTTTCTTTTCTGGTTTCTCTGGTTCTGAGAAAAGCAAGGGGCTTGTGAACCTTTGGGGTATCTCCCTCCTTTCATTGCTGTCACCTCTGCTCTTCTCTTCCCTCTCCTGGCTGTTATTTATTACTAGTGGTGTGGCAATTAAAGCTGCCTTTAAGGAAGTAGGGAGCAGATCCCATCTTTCTGGGACAGGCCTCCCAAAACAAAAAGTACCTAGACACTTTACCTGTGCTGCAGGGGCCTAGGCCAGAGCCCATGGGTGGGCAGGCAGGGCATAGAGACATTGTGGGACCTGCCCGCCACCCTCAACCTACTGCCATGCTTACATGCCCTAGCCTTCCTAGACCTTCTCACCAGCGCCCAGGCTTTCCTGGCCATCCCCCTTCAGGCCCTCCCCAGAGCTTTGGTGCATCTCATCTGGAGTATGGGCTGTGTTGTGATCATCCCAACACCTCAACCTCTTGTCTCCAAGGAAATAGGAGGTGGAGCCTCCTGGCTGAGAAATTGTTTTGCAAACGGATCTATTTTTGTATCAGATATTTTTTTTTTAATGAAAAATAATTCTTTCCCCTCTTCCCCTACATAATGTAAGAGGCTTTGTTGGCCATAATGTAAGAGGCTTTGTTGGCAGGTTCCAGAGTCCCTGGGATTTTTCCCCACAGGCCTCAATGCTGAACAAGTCCTTGGACCTCCACCTCAGGCCTCAAGCCTTCTGGACCCTTGAGGTCAATGCAGATTCTCTCAGCATCCAGCTCTGGTTGATCTATACCAGGCCCAAGAGTAGTGGGAGCTCTGAGACCACAGAGTTTTTATAAATTTAATATATTATCAAGCCAAATGTGCAGATGCTAACTGGACACATGGGAAAGTGGGCACAGGGAGTATCCACACACACTGACCCCTGCTCTCCCTTCTGAACAGTGTGCAGGCCAAACTGTTCAGTGACACCAGCCACAGGAAGTTCAGATTCTCTGGCTCAAGGTGACACTCATGCCTTCCTGTGCTTTCCAGTTCCCATGCCCTATAGATAGGGAGAGAGAATGGCATTATTAAGACTGGATCCAGAAGTATATTTGTTGGAGCATGGGGGAGCTTAGGATACCTGCAGGGATGCTTTGAGGCCAGGAAAGAGGGTTCTGGTCGCTAGAGCTTGTGTGTGCAGGAGCAACACTGCTCCTTTGAGCTATTCCCAGGAAGGCTGTGGTGCAGGGGCTGCTGAGCCCCTGGGTCCCCTCCTCCTTGCTCACGTCTGGGACTTCAATCCTTTCTTTTTTAATCTACTTTTGCTAAAATGCATTTAATAAAAAATAAAAAGACAAAATGCAAACATATTTCCCTTACCTCTTGGTCTTCTAAGGTGTCATCATCTCCAGTTTTTGGAGTTTGTTACCAACTGTAATAAACCATTCAGACAGTAATGCCTCACAGTCTCCTTTGTGAATTTTTGAGCTATTTTCTTTCACTGTAGTTTAGGTTATTCCACTCTTGTCTTGCCTCCACTCACTGGTTGACCAGACAAGCCATTGTCAAAATTAAGTTGTGCTGGGTATGTACTAGGCATTGTTTGGGCACAGGACTAGAGAGGATGAGCACATGGTTGCTTCTCCAGGGCTGCTACCCCTCCACAAAGGAGTTGGGCCCCTAATTTAGCTCCCCTCACCTTCTACATTGCTGCCTCTTGGCTTGGATCCTTTTTGTTTTTTTAACTCGGTTCCCCAGGGCCATAGATGTCATGACTTCCTAACAGTACATGTGACTCTGGCTGAGGGAAGCATCTGACTTCCAATCTCCCACCCTCTCTCCCCTCTTTGGTAGCCACAGCACATTCCAGACTAGCCGGGCTTATTAACTGGAGTGGAAACCTAAGCCTCCCCAGCAGAGGTCAGAAGCCAGATGACTTGCTGCCCAGAGTCCTACTTGTTTGAACACGTTGTGACCTGGACAAAGAAACCTTACAAGCTATGAGCAAGCCCAGAATAGATAGGGAGGGGCCTGGAGAGGACCACAAACCCACTTAGGCAGCTCAGGAGGCCTGGGCCTGGGACGGGGGCAGCTGCCTTCCCAATATGGCCTGACATGGGGGTGAACTGCCTGCCTATTCCCATCCCCCCCAGAGGCACGCGCTTCTAGCTCAGAGCATTATAGACACATACCAATTAAAGGACCCAGCCGCAGCTGCTCATGAGCGCTGCCAGCCTACTGCCGTGCCTGGAATAGAACCCAGGCGCCGGGCACCCCGCCCTCAGCCCCGGCTCTCCAAAAAAAAAAACCCTTCTCCGTTGCAGTAACCGTGAACACCACCCTTCCACGCAAGAAAGTCGCCCCCAGATGCTTGGTTGGAAGACTTGTTTCTATGGCAACAGACTTAGCGAGCTGGCAGAGCACGTGACCGGGCTGAGACTGCAGAGGAAGCCCAGAACCTGCATCCTCCTGCTCAGGTTGGGCACACCTTTCGCAGACCCTTCCGATAATCCCAGTGCGTCTGTGCGTCCGTCCTTCCGCCCCTCGGGTCTTCCCTCCCCTTAGTTTCCTGTAGCTTCTCAGGCTACAGCGACCTCAGATCCCACTGCTTTGAAGAGGAGGCGGGGAGATGGGCGAGTCGAGCGAATGGAAAAGCACAGAGGGAGGGAAGGGGAGAGGAAGGAAAGAGGGCGAGCTGGGTCTGCGGGCCATTTATTTCCCGCTGAACATTTAGGTCCCCTTGACCCCCGCAAACCCGCAATGAGTCCAGTTTCCTTGGCTTTGCCGTTGAGAGGAAAGCGGTAAGGCAAATTCCAGATGGAGAAGCAAGCTGTAAAACGGGCCTTGGAAGAATGGCCTCCGCGTTCCCTCCCACTTCCGCCGTGTTCCAAACCCCCTGGGGCAGCGGGGATGGAGGGGGGCGGGTAAAGGCGAGCCCACCCTGCTCTCGCGAAGCCCGCCAGGGCGCCAAGGATGGTAATTCTGGCGGGGGAGGGGCGGGAACTCAGGAAACGTCTTCGCCCCCTCTCCAGCGCCGCGAGCCTGGCGCCAGCCCGCCCCCGCCGCTCGCGCCCGAGCGCGGGAGTCTCTTCTGCCTGGAGACTGGGGCGAACACCGTGGCGGGGGCCGCCGCGAGCGCGCAGCTGCGACCCCCACCCCCAACGGACCCGCAAGACGATTCCACGCGACGTACGCAGATCCACAAGCACGCCTGCAACCACACACCTCGACACAGGCACATCAGTGTTGCACGCTACACCTGACAGCCGCTCACCCCCACGGCAATGACATAAACCCCAGGCGCAAACAAAAAAATCACCCCGGCCCTCCATTCCTGCTTTCCAGGGTGCACCTCTCCGCTCACAGTCACACAGGCCAGGAGCCTCTACCTCTTGCACAGAAACGCTCAGCCTTTCAGAAGAAACCTTTTTATTAATTTTTTTCAAAGAAAAAAAAGCCATATAAATATTAGAGTATAAAACTTGCGTGAGACACAGGAAGGGGGTGGGGTGGGGATCTACGTGACTATGCGAAGAGAAGCGCTTATAGGAGTCAGTACTGGGGAGGGGGTCGCCGCAGCGCGTGGACACAGCACAAAACACAGCACGGGCCGCCGCAGGCAGACTCAAGGACAGACGGCTGCGCGGAGCCCGCCGCCCGCTGCCCACTCGCCATCACGGAAAAGCACACCGCACTACACTATTGGCTATTCTATACCAGCCGAAAAAGGGATGGGGCTCTAACTATTGTAAGGGCGGGGGTGGGGTTCTCCCGCAGCCCCGCTGGATGAACGGGGCCCGGGGTCAGAGGGGGTGGGCTGAGGAAGGTCTATGCACAAGGAGGCACTGGGGGACTTTAACCAGGCTCTGGCCACAAGGAGGCGGACTGGGGGCCTGGGCAGTGGCCTTCACGGAGAAGAAATGGCACCTGGCGAGGTGAAGGGCCGGGGGGCTTGAGGCGCACAGGGGACTTGTGGCCTGGGCTGAGCCTTTTTGTCCACTTGCTCCCTGTTGTACCTCATTGCCTCCTGGGCCCAGGGACCAACGATAGCCTACTTGGCCCTGGCTTCCTACTGGGGCCACACTGATCTTTCCACCTCTGGAGTACCCAGCACCCACAGAGGCCCCTCTGACCTCTCAGGGGACCTGGTCCCAAACCTGCTCAAAGCTTCCTTGGACTGCACTGCCCGTTTAAATCCACTGTTGCTGTAGCTCACCCAAAGCTGGCAGCCTGGACTGAGCCCTGTATGTGGTAGATGAGGGTCCAACCTGGTGCTTGGTTTGGGGCTGGAGTTTGGGGATCTGGTCAGTACCCTGGGGGCATAGAGAACTTCCTGCAAGACCCCCTTCACCTGATGGGTCAGGTTTTGTACATGCCCCCATCCACACACATACACACACCCTTCCCTTCTTTATCCTACTATCCCATACTCTCTTGGAACATGCAATGGCGTTTCTCGTTTGGGGAAGGGGAGGTCACAGCATGCAGTGGGAACATCAAACAATGAAACAAAACAAAACAAAAGACTGGTCCCCAGGGTGTTGGGAAGAGGCATGATAGCAAAATGCCCTCCCTAAATCCAGCAAGCATCAGTACCATGGGGATGGTGACCACATCTCCCAAAACTTGACCTTGGCCTCAGGAGGTGAAGGAACTGGCACCATGTTTTGGGACAAGTTTGAAGGTTGAAGGGGAGGCCCAGAGGTGATGGTGCCCTTCCAACTCTTCAGAACTGTGAGCTTTTTAAGGTCACCTGGTACCTCAACACACCAACCACCTTACTCAAGAAAAAGGAGCTATTGAAGGAGTGGGGTGGAGTGGCATGGGTAGCAGGGAGGCAGGGGATGGATGGGCCTGATTGAATTTCGAAGATGAGGAGTTCAGCTGTAACTAAAGGGGATATGATAAATGGTTTTGGTGTCTACACTATCCCCACTACCCCCATGGGCACAGCAACTGATTGGATGGGGGTTCTGGCAGAACTCCCTTTGCATATTCAATTCCTTGGGGGCAGAGAGGGGGGTGTTGACTGGGCACTTATTTCTGTTTCCCAAGGGGAGAATGATCTTGGCCCCTGCCAGTATCCTGGGGGCAAGGCCTGAAAATCAGAGGCCTGGGTACAGGCAGGGAGAGGCTGGGCTGGTTGGGGAGGGAGGCTGCCCTTTGGCTCCAGGTCTGGCCTCCACATTACTTCTTCTCCTTCTTGCCGGACTTCTTCTTGTTGCCGTTGCCACCTGCCGGGGCCTTCCCATCCCGCTTGCCAGCTGCGTTGGTCAGTGTGGCGTTGCTGCCTGGGATGTAGACATTCTGGCGGTAGTCGGGCACATGTTGTAGGGTGAACTGAGGCCCGTAGCGGGCACTCAGGCCCATGGTGCCGGCGCCCCCTCCCAGGGTGGAGCTCCCATCAGCAGCTTCTGCAGAGACAGAAAGGTCAAGGGCTACACTTCAGGTCCCCAACAGTCACTCCTTTGTACCACAAGCAGTCTGCCTGCAAAGCACCCAGACCACGATGAGCACTGAGAAGACCCTCCTTATCCACAAGAAATAGAGGTAAGAGGTCTGACTCCCAGTTCTTTTACCTACAGTGATCCCGAGCAAATCTATCTAATCTCCCTATGTCTCCTCAGTTTTTAGTTTTAGTTTTTGGGTTTTTTTTGTTTTTTTGTGGGACCCTCGCCGGTAGCCGGGGATCGAACTGGCGCTGCAGAGGCTGCGGGCAGCGCTCAAGTGCTCCGCCACCAGGGGGGGCCCTGTCTCCTCAGTTTTTTGACCAGCAAAATGGGAACCATACTAGTATCTAGTTCTTTGGTAGATAGAAGGCAAAACAAGACCATGATGTGATGCACTTAGAATAGTGCCTGGTACATGGTAAGGACTTAAAACATGCTAGCTCTTATTTTTCATAGGGCTGAGACCCTGGCTCCCAAATCCTTGTCCTATCCCTTTCCAAGGGAGCCTCCGTCATCCACTCTGGCCCATTCTCCAGGGGGCTGTGACCTTGGTTCGTATCAATCTCCATCACCCAATGCCTAGCACGGAGTAGGTATTTCAAGCTTCTGTCGTTAGTTAGGAGGGAATGCTCTTCCACCCACTTTCCAACCATTATTGCCTACTCTGTGCCAAGCACTGTGCCAGATGTTGCACCTGCGTGAGGCTTTAAACTCCACACCACAACCCAGAGAGGTAAGTGATATTATTCTCCTTTTACAGATGAGGGAAGCAAGGCTCAGAAAAATTAAGACTGGTCCTACCAGCCAGTACAAGTTAGAAGGAGTCAGACCTGAGTGCGCATGAGCATGGATGCGGTGGGCGCACCACCATCACTGCAGAGTGGCCCATCATTACTCTGAGGGGGAAAGAGAGGGAGAGAAGTTCGTTCTATGAAGCTGGGAAGATAATGACGTAGACTCGGCTATCTGAGGTACACTGCGGACAGGCACAGCAGATTGGGGCTAGGAGACATCACAGATGGCACCTCCAGCCCAGCTGCCTGCCTGCTGCATGAAGAAGAAGTGGGTTCCAGCGAAGGACACATCCTGGCCCTCTTTCAGCATCATCTGGGAGTTTGTTCCAAACAGACTTGGAATCTGCATTTTCACGTTTGCCACGTGATCTGCATCCATATCAAAGGCAGAGAAGCACAGGAGTGCTTCCTCAACGGGATTTTCTGAGGATGAAATGAGATCGCGCTCTAGGTAAGGCAGTCCAGGCACTAGTAAGGTAAGTGCTCATCAGTTAGTTGTTATCAGTGATTAATCATCATCATCACTGTAGTGCGAGGCATTACTTATATCTCACACACTGCTTGACAGTGGGATACGCGGGAGGAATCAGGAATTTGGATGACTGGCTAGAGATCACAAGGATGCTGCTGGAGAATTCTGGCAAAGATAGAGTTAAAACCCCAGGACCGCCCAGCCCCAGCCCAGCAGACCCGAGGGCTTTCCTCTACCCCTCCTCCCGCCTCAGACCCCGGTTGTGACTAAAGCCTGAGAGGTTGAGTAATCCTGAGATACCACCAGGGGATTGAGAAATAGAGACAGGAAATATTTTCAAAGAACGACACCAGGACTGGGAAGGAGGAGCATATGAAAAGGGAGAGGAGAGATGAGCCAGGGTCTTTCCGCCTCCTCACCCCGGAGCTCAGGTTTCTACAGCTTTTAAGTTCCAAGTCCCCGGATCCCGGGGCTTTGGGGGTGGGGATAAGGGGCTGGGTGGGAGGGAGCAGCTGCCCACTTCCTCCTCTCCTTCCTGCTCTCGTCCCCTCCTGCTCCCCGCCCCTCCCCCGCCCCCCTTCATTCCACTGACAGCTCTCCTTTTCCCTAATTAACTCCAGAGGCCCAGTCCTCTCCGGCCGGCCCCCTCCCCTCCTCAAGCCTGGGAAGGGAAGGGCTGGGGGAGGGCACCCAGATCAGACTTCAAAGACTCAGGATTCGGGAGCGATTTAGGGCCTAAAGGAAAGAACTTGGAGGCACCAAGGACTGGGGGAGGGTGCACAGAAGAGAAAGCGGGGGAAATGGGGAGAGAAGGGTGTGACTGGGTAAGTAGAAGCCAGGCTCACCCGCCCAAGTCCTACATGCACCCAAGATCCCAGAGGAGTACACAAGTATATGAAAATGATAAGGCCTGCCTATGTCACCTGCTCCCCAGAACACAGGCCTGATGTAGGATGGGCCCCTATGGGGCGCAATGAAGCTGCACTGGACTGGAAGGGAAGATGGAAATCCAGAGTTAGCAGAAAGAGGCTGGCACTGGAGTTCCATCTGGTCATCTCTGCCACCAAGGAGCTGTGTGACCTAGGCCTAGGCCTTGCACAACTCAGGTGTCAGTTTCCTATCTATAAATCTGACAAGTACAACTCTAGGCTCTGACCTTTTACAGAATCAGTTCTCTAATGCCCCATCTACCCTCACAAGACTCGTGTTGTGCAGTGACCAGGACCCTCCCTTAGTCGAAGGAGAAACAGACTCTGAAGAGCACCAAGAAGGGCATCCTTTGCTGGGCATCCACTGGCCTGGAGAAAGTGGGAGCAGTGCTGCTTTTCTCTGTGCCAGCTTCTCCTCAGGAAACTCAACTCCTAGCAGTGTAACTTCTCCACCCTCATCTCCCCTCCCACTCAGACCAGGGGAAGGCAGCTTCTCCAAAGGTGCCTGGGAAGGCCTGTCAAACTAGAGAGTCAGCTCAAGTGCAAATTGCAACCTCCTAGACAGCACACCTCTCCCCGCCCCCAACTGTTTATTTAAAAAGCCTCTAACTTCCTTACTCCTCCAGCAGCTCCTCAGGCAAGGCTGGGCTGGGCTCCAGGAACCTCACTGGCTCCAGGGCCAGGAATCGGGTGTGAAAGTGTGAGTAGGGCCTGACCCTGCCACCTCCATCCTCAAAGGCCATTCCCCAAGGTGCCGGCTTGGTCTGGGGTCGGGCCCAGTGTAGGCTGGAGGGGTGGAGTCTTAACAGAGGAGCCAGCCTGAATGGCCCTGTGGGACCATCTGGGAAGGTCTGGGGCCATAAATACTGATTTCATTTGTTTTTAAAATCTTTTTTAGGCTAAAAAGCCTGCTTCCTGGTCTTAGGGCTCAAGACCACAACTGCTAAATATACCTGTCTGTTTACTTTCCTCAAGAGTTCACTGGCCAGCTGCCTGCCTCTTTCATATTCGATCTCTGGCCTCTCTAGAATTATAGCCCTGCCAAATGGGCCAGCTCTGTCCCAGAAGGCTGGCCACCCCTGCCACTTCTTCCTTCCTCTGCCTCTTCACTAACCACAAGCCTGTCTCCACTCAGCCTCACTGACATCTGGGGGAGGGGTGCCAGATTTAGCAAAAAATGCCCGGTGCCCAGTTCTTGAATTCCAGGTAAACAACAAACAATTTTTTAGTATAGTATTGGGGCCTATTTATATTAAAATATTATTTGTTGTTTATCTGAAGTTTGAATTTAACTGGGTGCCCTGTATTTTATCTGGCAACCCTAATCTGGGAGAATAATGCAGGGTGTTGAGAGCAGCTCATCCTCTCGTCCAGCAAAGGCTGGATGTAAAGGCGGGCAAACTCACTGTAGTGGAAAGCACTCGAACTGAACTTTCGAGTCCGGCTGGGTTAGAATCACTAATCTGCAGTTCATAAATGGGGACCTTGGAGCAAATGATTTTTCAGTTCTCTCATGTGTCAAATGGATGTAATCAGACCTGCTGTGCAGAGTTAGAGGATTAACCGATGAGAGGCCCATAAAATTTGTCTAGCATGTGCTGGGACCATAATCACCATACACAGGGTGATTATGGTGATTATTGTTCTGATTTTACCTCATCCTTTACCCACCAGTCCTCCAGGTGTGCTGGAGGGCAGGACTCTCAGCTCACTAGAGGTGCCGTACTCCTCTGCCTGCCTCCACATAAGCCCAGGATTTGCTGCTTCAGAAGCTAGTTCTTATCAATAGACATTACTCTAATTCTGCCTTCTATCCACCCCTCTGGGTCAATAAAGACCATAATTAATCCATTTTAGCTACTCTGTATTATACCACTACTCTCTGCCAATCCTGGGGCCTTACATTTGGCCCCCACGTCACCACAATGGGGATGGGCTGTTGTACCGTTTCACTCAGTCAAACTGAGGCCCAGAGGGGCTCACAGCTGTGGTGATGCCAGAATTTGAATCCAGGCTGGCCCGTCTCCAAAGTCTGTGCTCTCAGGTAATGACGATATTGTTCTGCTTCTCTGCTAGGGACCCCTGTGAGTCTTCAGCAACAAAAACCATGGGATGAATCTCTGATACATATAAAGTTCTTTGTTAGCCTTGCTGGAAAACAAAATTCTGCTCTGGAGGTGGCGGCAACACAAAAGAGAGAAGGGGTCTCACATATCCGGAGTTTGTTCTCTCTGCTCGGAGCAGCCCCACCTGCTCCATGGAGTGAGGGTTTGAGTGTACCAGGTCATACTTCAGCTTTCAGCTATCATCTCCTGTAATTCTTACCACGACCCTTTGAGGTCGCTGTGTCCATTTTCTTGGCTGAGGAAACTGAGGTTTAGAGAGGTTAGGTAAATTGATCAAAATCACAATGACAGTGGCCCAGACTGATGCTGTCATTTTCCAGGGCTAGACTCTTAACCACTACTCCCCATGTCTCCTCCATGGGTCTTTCCTTGTTCACCCCCTCTTGAGTATCCCAGGATCCCTAATCCCTCTACTGTTCGTTAGCCTGGTTTTATGTCCTGGAATTCTGTGTCCTCACAGAGCAGCTGAAAGATCAAGAGAAACCATGCAGAGTGGCAGCCAGGCTCAAGGCATGGTAGCCTTGGGATGCCCCCAGGATTCCCAGTCTCGCATCCCAAACCGCACACTGGCACACTTACCGCTGGCGGAGGCCAAGATCATAGCTTGCAGCATCTCTGTGTCAAACTGGTTGTTAGGCCAAGTGCCGGTTTCATCGCCATTTTGGGAGCTGGGGAGAGAGGAGTAGTGAGCATGGTCTCCCAGGTCAGTGCAGCTTATGCCCTTCCTGTTCTCTCCCAGGGTCCCCAGATCCAGTACCCCACACCTATGACCTGCTCCCTTTCCTCAAGGTAGAAAGAAGTTTATATGATCCTTCAGAAGCCAGACCACCACTTGTCAGTCCACAAAACAGCTGTGTCAGACTCCATGGCCCTAGAGTGACAGAGGGGCATAAACTGCAGCTTCCCCTGCAGGAGGGAGCAGTGGCTTACTGTCATGGTGAAGGAGCTCAGATCCTCTCCTGAGAGCAGTGAGGGTGAGAAAGGGGAGAGAATGTGCCAGAGCTAGAGAAAACCTAGGGAGATATGAAGGGCCCCGGGGCAGGGAGAGACAGAGTTCTAAAGCACAAATGTGATAACTTCGATGGCTTGTTAATCCCTCAGGATAAAATCCATGACACATAAGAACCCGCCCATCTATTTTACAAGAACATCCCTCTGCCCGGCTCCCAAATATTCTATCATTAAACCTATTCTGGCGCAGATACTGTTTGCTTAGAATGCTGGTTCCCAACCTTTGCCTTGAATTTTAACAGGAATACAATTTGTCGGGTCAGGTGCCTGTGTGAGGCACCCGTCCCCAGCTCGTGGCAGCGCTAGGTCCCCTGCTCTTGTACCTTGTGCTTCGCACCAGACCAAACTGAAGCTGGTCTGTGTCTGCCATCTTCCTACTAAAGCTCCTTCTTAAGATCTTTCAACTCTAAGCATTGAGAAAAACATGAAGTGATTCATAACCTTAAAAAATGCTTCCCTGTAAAAGAACCTTAATGCATTTCAACTCAACTTGGATTTTTGCCATAGTGACTATTTTCATGCTTTGTGTTGAATTTTCAAGGATCAAATAATTTCCCTTTTTGAGGGGAGGGCAAAGCACCCCGACACTCACACATAGTCTATTATGTGATAGTTGGCACATTGAAGTTTCTCAATAAATATTTACTCCTGAATGAATGGGGAAAGATCTGCAGAGTTCTATCACTACAAGTAAGAAGGATTTGGCACTGGGGGTGAGCTATGGGGCGGGTCCTGAAGGCCTAAAAGAGTGTGTATGGGGGGCCTCCCCTGGTAGTGTGGATGGTTGAGCGCTGTGCTGTGAAGCGCTGTGAAGCTGTCCGCAGCCTCTGCAGGGCGGGTTCGATCCCGGCCAGCTGGCGAGGGTCCCACATGGTGCAGCAGACCTCTCCTGTCGTGCCCGCTGCTCCCCCTCGGCAGTGTATTTCATCAGTCTGCCTGTTCTGCTCCCTGCTCTGTCTCTGGTGAATCCTCTCACCCTCTCACACATCTGGCCTGTACCCCGGTTCTTGTATAAATAAATAAATCTTAAAAAGAGAGAGAGAGAGAGAAAGTGTGTGTGTGTGTGTGTGTGTGTGTGTATTGTCAGGGTGGGAGAGCACAACCAAGAATTGCTTTACAGTTGTTCCTGCTATGGTCTCCTGGATGTGGGATTCCCCACCCCCAGATAGGCAGACTCTGTCCAAGGCTCAGATGAGAGCACACAGCTGCTTTCTACACCATCACAGCAAATGTAGAGTTAGGGTTGGAGAGTAAAGCTGGAATCTCACTTCTGCCTCCCAGAGTGGGAAGGGTTAGAATTCTATGTCCCTTATTCACCAAATATTTAGTGAGTGATTACTATGCATCAGACTAGGTGCTGGGGTTAAAGCCATGAGATGACTGAAACAGGCCATCTTTATGGCGCTTGAGGTCCACAGAGAGGCTGGCAGTAAATAATCACACAGTTATTTCACTGTAATTGTGACAAGTGCTATCGAGGCAAAAAGCAGAGGGTACAGGAGAGTCCTCGCCTAGTCTGGTTTGGGAATTCCATCACTGTAGGATTCTCTGAGGAAAAGGCAGGGAATTTAGACCTGAAGGAGTTACCCAGGTGATTGGCAGGAGAATGCCAACTAAACAAATGGGAAAAGAATGATAGAAAATGACCACTTTGTAGCCATTGTAAAAACAGCTTCAGGCAAGGATGAGTGAATACTCAAATACTAAAAGAGGATGAAAGGTTGCTGCACTGTCTCAAACATCACCCATTCGTTAGGTATTGATTGCAAATATTTAAAAATATTCTTATAATGCAAAGATATGGGGACACCACTTGAACCAAGTGAATAAACTGACCGCCAGTCAGTGATAATGGAACAAATCTACATGAAATGACTCCTGATGTGATGAGGGGGGCACACGTGTCACCCACGCGTATTCTTACATTTAAAAAGATTACTGGCCCAGATTCTTTAAAAAAAAAAAAAAACTCTACATTGTAAGAAAACAACCTCCCACCCCCCAAAAATAAAGAGGTTGTTCTAGATTAAAGGAGATGAAAGAGACAAGGCAAGCAAATGCAATTCATGCCTTCTTGATAAAATTCTGGATTCAAAACAAAAGGTTAAAAGGACATTTGGAGAACATCTATGAAAATCTGCTCGCTGGCTGTATGTTAATGCATTAATGTTAAAGTCCTCAAATGTGATCATTCTTTGAGGTTCTATATGAGAATGTTACTGTTATCAGGTGACGTACACTGAAGTATTTCGAATGTTATGATCTCTGCGACTCTGAAATGGTTCAAAGAAAAGCGTATGTGGAGAGAGGGAGAGAAAGAAAGATAATGCAAATGTGCAAAATAGTAACAATTGGTGAATCTAGGTAAAACGAGTATTTGGATGGTCATCATACTAGTCTTTCAACTTTTCCATAGGTTTGAAACATTTCAAAATAAAAACCTGGAGGTTAAAATTTAGTTAGCCAGGAAAAATAGTATCATACTCCCAGGCCAAGGGAATATCTGGCTGAGCCTGAGGTTGGGCAGAGTTTAAAGGACTAAGGAGAAGACAGTGTGACCCCTGCAAGGGGAGGTGGTGTCCAGGCTGGGGCTGCAGAGGAGAGGGTCATGAAAGATGTGGGTCTCATCCTAAGAGCTCTACAAAGCCAGTCACGTGTTTAAAAGGGGGGTCGTCATAATAGTATTTCACTATTTAAAGTTCAGTGTTGCTCTTGGAAAAGAATGGAGGGTTGGGGGTACCTCTGGGAGGACAGGAACCCTGTAGTGGGGCCTCAGTCATCTGCATCTCCATGAAAATTCAGGACTCATGACTCACAACCTCCCGGAGTTCTCTCCAGGCCTGCCTGATGATGCAGGGCTATGGCAGGTGGTGCAGGCCAAGGTGAGGGGCCTATGGGGATAGAGTGGGGAGAGTAGGGGCTGAGAAGATTGCAGGGAGAAAAGCGTGGGGGCTGTGGGACAAACAACAGGGTCAGATGCCACAGTTTAGAAGGGTACGCTATAGGGGTGCGAAGTGGAATAAAGATGAGTCAATAAAGGTGGGTCTGGAACCATGATGGGCTTAGGCTACAAGGAGGATCCTTGGGAAAGCCTGAAGGCCAAGTACAGGCAGGCTGCCAGCTCTCTGAAGCTGCTTGAGGTGGACAAGGAGAGACTTCTTTTTCAACCATTTACCAAGAGTGTTCTAGTCTCCGGGCACTGGGCTGACTGGGATATATATATATGTGTACAATCTATTTTAGCCTCAAAAGCACCTGCAGATAAGTGTTATATGATTATCCCTGTTTTCAAACAGATGGATCTGGGGACTCAGAGACGATGAGAGATTTTCCCATAGTCACACTGCTGGTAACTGGCAGAGATGCAACCTGACATAGGTCTAATGTGGATCTGAAGTTTATGATCTTATACAAGACAACATATGGGGCTTCACTGGGAAGTCCTAGAGCAGGTATAGGGGACTTTTCCAGGATTTGGAAAAAAAGTAAAAAATAAAAGTGGAACAGATGGACTACATCTAACAGACCACTTCCCAAGCACCCACTCTGTAGAGATAGGCCCTACAATTTACGACATGACAGCTACAGTTCTCACTCTAAGGACTTTGTATTCTGGCACACGGAGTGTGTGTGTGTGTGTGTGGAGTATGCCAGAGCCTGAGTTGTGGTAAATGTTCTGTGCATCATGCTCAAAAATGGCAGAGGGCCTCCCCGGTGGCGCAGCGGTTGAGCGCTGGCTTGCGAAGCTGCCCGCAGCCTCTGCAGTACCAGTTTGAGCCCTGGCCACAGGGCAAGGGTCCCACATGGAGCGCAGACCTCTCCTGCCACCCACTGCTCCCCTCAGCAGTGTACTTTGGTCCTTCTGCCTGCTCTGCTCCCCGCTCTGGCTCTGGTGAATTCTCTCACCCTCCCGCGCTTCTGACTGTACCCAGTGCTTGTATAAATAAATAAATAAATAAATCTTTTAAGAAAAAAAAAAAAAAAAAACATTAAAAAAATGGCAGAAAGCTGGGGAAATCACCTCTGACAACAGCCTGGATTTAATTATGTTAATATGTAAATGCATGTGTATTTTTTAAGGCCTATCAGCATTTTAAAATATATGTCTAGATGAGGGGCTATTATGCATAATTAAATGACTTACTGACATGAGGAAATTCTCCTGGTATCTAAAGAAGGGGGGGAAAAAGTCTAGAATACTGATGGACAGTATGACCTCAATTAAAAAAAAACAAACTGGTAAGAAATATACCAGTTGACAGAGAATAAAAGTCCCCGATATTCTATGAACAAGTTGGTGAATAACTTATTTAATTGAATCAGATATTTTTTAAAAAGCAGCAGCCTTTGCATATTGTTTGACTGCATAACATGTACCTTTCTGAGATACTATGTGTAATGGGTAAGGCTAGAAACATATATATAAAATACTAATGAGTCCATGAATAAATTGAAAAAATGTAAGATGGGAGACTTTCACAACTTAAGAGATTTGAAACACTCGACCAAATGCAAAATGTGGGCCTTAATTTGGATAAGCATGCAAACAGAGAGATGTATAACTGGGAAACGTGAATATAGACTGGCAATTTGATATTTGTTTATTAACATTATTTGATCTTACTATGTTACTAGGTTATCAATATTATTTTTAGTGTTTATACATTTAAACAGTCATCTGTTAAAGACAGTGAAGGTCCAGATGAAATTATATGATGTCTGAGATTTACTTCAAAATAATTCAAGGGAAGATTAGGATTGAGATAGAGGTAAAACAAGTGAGGGAATTAGTTGAAATCAGATATTGGAATCACAGAGGTTCATTATATCATTCTGTCTACTTTGGTATAGATTTGAAATTTTCTTTCTGAAAAAAAAAAAAAGGTTAGTGGTGGTTTCCCTCAGTTGTGATATTGTGGTGCTTTTCCTTTAAATATTTTTTTCTCCGTTGCTCATGCTTCTATAATAAGCATTATTTTATAAACAGGAAAAAATGCTGTTTGTTGAATGACTTCCCAAATGGAGGGAAAGTAGGTGGTGTCTTTCAGAGGAGAGGGATGGAAGAGGACCCAGAATTGGGGAAGGCCAGGGTGGAGCCATCAAAGAACAGAGGAATGTGAAATGGTCACTCTCTCCTCTGGGCAGAGGCTGGGAACAGCTGCAGGGCAGTGCCTGGGTTATAGGAGCACTGACTGCTGGGTTCAGAACTTGAGACAACAGCTATTGGAACCAGTAGCTTAAAGAATGACCTGAGAATGGATAGTGGTAGGGAGGAGGAACACCTGGGAGGCAGGGACTGCAGACGTAATTCTTTTTCCCTTTAGTCCAAAATGTGAGTCAGTGCTGACCTGAACTTAAACCAGTTTTACTGAATTAGCCAGTACTAGTACTTCAAATTTGGTGTGTCAGTAGCCAAGGTGGTGGAGGAAAGGGAGTGGGGCAGAGAAATAATGGAGGGCTGGAACCAGCATTAAACTGAACAAGAGAATTCTCCCCTCTATATCTTCTCGCTCCAATTAGCTAATCAGAAGGGCAGCAAAGAAAAAAAACTCACTGTCATTCTGTTGACCTGAGTGGCTTTACCACAGGGCCTTTGCATAAGCTCTCCCCTCCACCTTGAATGCTCTTCCCTCTTTCTTTCAGTAGGTTAATTTATATTTATCCTTCAGATCTCACGCAGCACAGTTACCCCTTTCTCTTGATGTCCTCCTGCTCCCTGACCGAGTGGAATCCCCATCTAATGCTCTCACCACCAGGTACTGCTCTTCATAGCACTTATGACAGTTCCAATCTTGCATTTATTTCGGTTATTTGGTTAATATTTGTCTTCCACAACACATTGTAAACTCAAGAATCATGTCTATTTTATATCTCCTACACCTAGAACACTGGCCTATAGTAAGTGTGCTCTACTTATTGAAATTATGAAGAAGGGAAGTCGCAGTTGTTAGACTAGGTCCCCAACACTTATTTCATCTGGGCCATTTTGGAGCTGAATTAGAAATTGTCCCATCCCTCTCAAGCTAAGTATGGAAGCGAGAGATCCTGAGTCTGATCCTCCATCTCTCCAAGAATGCCTATAAGTATTTCAGAACACCAAGTCTCTCATTTGATGTAAAGGTACTCGAGGCAGGGGTAAGACGCTCACCCCAGGTGCACATTCAGAGGTCTCAGGGGGAGTATATGGCCTGAACTGGGGGTGGGGAAAGGGGATATCAATTGCCCAGTATTTCTTACCACCTCAGCTCAGTGTCACTTCTTCCTGGAAGACTTCTCTCTCTCTCTTCCCCATTATACTCACATTACCCTATTTTTATTAATTTTTTTTAGTGTGATTTGTTGTCAATTTTCTGTCTCTGTTGGCCTGGATGCCTATGAGCTCACGAATCAGGACTGCTTAATCACTCTTATAGGCCAGTGTTTAGCACAGGGCCTGGTTCATAGTAAGTAGATACTCAATAAATACTTGTTGAATGAATAAAAACATGAATGAATACAGGAATGAGTACATGAATGACTTAATGGATAACCTATGGGAAGGCTAGCAAGGCCAGGAGGAGAGAGGAGACAGTTGGGGTCAAGGGAGGGGTAAGGGCAGCCAAGTCTTCTGGTTTGCTGTCTTCCAGGGGCCTTCTAGGAAGTGCCTTGAGATCCTGATACCAGAAGCAGAACTGCACATGCCCGAGAGCTGGAGTCCCTAGCATATACCAAGGCCTCTTGGGTTCTCGTGGCAGCAAGGGCTCAGAATCTGCAGTACCTGGGGAAATGTGGGCAGCAGGTGCCCCACCAATGACTGGCAAGGAGGCAGGGGAAGGCAGCCCAAGCTCTGCCCTCCCTCTTTCTCCAGCTCCTTGAACTCTTCCAGGCTTCAGACGTCTAACTGGGAGGCCTGGCCCCCAGCCCACCTTTCTCCCCTTAGACCAACTGAAGGTTGGTCTTTCCGCTGAAGTTTCCCTCCCCCACCCCTCACCCACAGGGGGTTCCTGTCTCAGCAGGAATTCATTCCCGATTGAAAAGAGCAGCTGGGACTGCCTGGCTGGGATGGCGTGTGGTGGGGAGCAGAGATCAAAGGCTCTGTGTGAGAGGGGCCGCATGAGAGGGAGAGGGAGGGCATGTGTGTGTGTGCACGCATGTGTGTGCTGGTTTGCCCACAAGTACAAAGAAATGAGAGAGAATAAAAGACAGACGGAGGGAGAGATAAAGAGCGACAGAGAGAGACAGACAACAGACTTAGATATACGGAGAGGGGCAAGAACAGAGAACAGAGAAAAGCAGAAATGGGGAAATAGACATGAAGAGGCTGGAGACAGAGGAATGCAAGGACACTAGGAAATAATGAAAGGAGAGACAGAGACAGAGAGAAAAGGAGAAACAGAGACTGAGACTGAGGAAGAGTCACATTTATTCATTGTTTCCACATTTATTGAGCACCTCCGCCCTAGCAGGCACCAGTGAGGCACAGATCAATGCAAGGAGATACAAATGGCAGGGACTGAGATGCAGCAATAAAGACAGAAACTGAGATAGAGACCTAGAAAGAGAGGGAGAGGCAGAGATTTAAACTGAGATAGAGACTGAGGGAAGGACGTAGAGATAAGAGAGTGGCAGAGAAAAAGGACTGCAGCAGAGAGGGCAGGACTGGAGGGGACCAGAAGGCCGGGCAGGGGAGATCTTGCCCCTCCAGGTTCCCAGACCATTCCTTGTGACCCCATCTCCAGCTATGCTGTCTCTGCTTGCCCCACCCAGCCCCCCCACCACCACCACCCCACGCACACTCCCCTTTGCGTTTGCTCTTTCGGAAGCTTCTGGGAGAAGCTTCCAGCTTCTCTCTTTTTCTGTCCCAGGCCGGGACAGAGCCCAGCCCGGGACAGAGCCCAGCCCAACCCGGAGCAGAGGGGTGTAGGCAATAGATGGATATAAAAAGCCTCTCCTCCACCCACAAACCATTTTAAGACCACCCTTCACCCCTAAGGAGTTAGGAAAAGGTTCCTTTGGTGGGGAGATGACTGTGAATTGAGTTTCCAAAATAGCCAGAGTAAGTGCCTCTCCCTCCTGGGGTCCATGTACCAGCCCTTGATACCTCTCAGCTCCCTGAAATCTGGAACTGAGTGATGAAGCCATTTGTAGCAAATTGGAACCCTCCCCCATCCCCTCCACGTCATCGCTGAGAAAATGCCGCAGAGAAGAGGGTGGGCTGGAGAGGCAGTCACCTACCCGCTGGTGCCGGGTCTCTGGGCCTGAGAGAAACGCCAGTCCGTGTTGGGTGGGGCCTGCTGTGGAGAAAACAGAGGGAAAGGGGCTGAGTACCCATGGGAAATCAGAAGGTCACTAGAGCCCCTGGGGATGTGCCGGCAGGGGATGAGGGGAGTGGAAAAAGAGAAGAAAAAGGTATAAGGTAAGGGGAGGGGGTAGATTCATTTCCAAAGACAAAATATATACCTCAGGTCTTAGAGGACTGAGATAAAGAAAACAAAGATAAAATGATATTATCTGACCACGGTGAGCAAATCCAGATTTCTTTGCTAGAGAAATGGCCCCTTCCTCCCTGCCCCCAGACTCAGAATTTCTGAGCTGAGACTCACGGACTTAAAGTGCCTTCTTTAAGTGCAGCAGGGGTGGGGGTGCAAAGAAGACCCCCAAAAGTGGCAGAGGAGGATTTGAGAGGATAATTCTACCAGCCCTAGAGAGAGTTTATTCAGCTCCTGAGCTGGGAACAAAGCTTCCTCTACAGCAAGATGGCTGCGCTCTGGGTAACCCTTTCCATGCCAGGTTATGCTATAACATTCAGAGGGATGCCTCCTCCAGTCCCTTGGCTCTCAAGGATCCCTTCCCACAGCTAAATACATTATTAATTTAGGAGTCATGCCAGACTGGGCCTTTGCAGGGCATCCAAGCCCCAGGACACCTCTCACCCCCAGAACTGTGTGCCAGATAATGGCTGTGACTAAGGAAGAGAGAACAAGGCCACTCTGTCTGGGACAGAAAACTGTTGGGATGGAGCCCAGCAGAGATCAAGCTCCCACAACCTCCAAGCACAGCCAACTATGTCTCCAGGGCTCCCAAGGGGCCAATCGTAGCCACCTCCCACCTGGACAAAGGTGTGGGACCCTGGCCAGTCACTCCACTCTTGAGCCCTCCCAGTCTTCTCAGAGGGTGTTATCCCATTACACACTCAAGAAGCACTCCCAGAGCCATCTCCTCCCTGGTTCTGGGGTGTGCTAGTAATTAATTCTCACACTCCTGGGAGTAGAGAGGGAGGTGTGAGAATCTCTGATTACACTGGGGAGAGGGCAGACCCAGGGTTGCCAATGACTCACTCTAAGGCTCCCAGGTAGTAGCGATGTGAGAACTCAAAAACTTAGCATGCCAGGTGCAACAGGAGTCACCAGCACCACAGGCCTGGCATGGGGAAGGGTACCGGATGTCCAGCTCTCAGCTGTCATGTTCACAGTCTACACAGAGATGCAGTAATCCTGACAGGTTGGAGTAGCAGAGCTCCACAAAACTCACAACTTGTATAAGGACGGCGGGTCCAAGTTTGCTCAGTTAGGAGTACTTAGGGATAAGGAGACCCGGAAGACTTTTCTTCAGATGTAAGGCCCCCAAAGGGAAAGAACCCCACCCCTGTCCCATCTCAGTAGACTCAAACCTATAAGGCCCAAGTGCCAAGGGATTGAAAGCACAATTTTGACGACTTGGGTTAGGTCTTTATCACTTACCCTGTGAACTTGAGCAAGTCATTTGATCTGTGGGAAACTCAGTTATACTGGGGATGTCAAGCCTATCCAACAAAAGTGTTGGGAATAGCACATGAGATGTTGTGCTTGTCCGAGCTGGGTAGGAAGGGTCTCACAATCACCTAACAATCACAGGGATGTGTCCTTTTAAAATATAATTCTCGGGGGCCTCCCCGGTGGCGCAGCGGTTGAGTGCTGGGTTGCGAAGCTGTCCGCAGCCTCTGCAGCGCTGGTTCAATCCCCGGCTGCTCCCCGGCCACCGGAGGAGGGTCCCACATGGCGCACAGACCTCTCCTGCCTCCCGCTGCTCCCCTCAGCAGTGTACTTCGGTCCTTCTGCCTGCTCTGCTCCCCGCTCTGGCTCTGGTGAATTCTCTCACCCTCCCACACTTCTGACTGTACCCAGTGCTTGTATAAATAAATTAAATAAATAAATAAATAAATAAATAAATCCTTAAAAAAAAAATTCTCGGGCCTCCCTGGTGGCACAAGGGGTTAAGCACCGCACTACAAAGCAATCCACAGCCTCTGCAGCAGGAGTTCAGTCTCCACAGCCTCTGCAGCAGGAGTTCAATCTCTAGCCAGCTAGGGAGCAACCCATATGGTGAGGCAGACCTCTCCTGCCTCGCCTGCTGCTCCTCTCAGCAGTGTGTTTCAGTCAGTCTGCCTGTTCTGTTCCCTACTCTGTCTCTGGTGGATCCTCTCACCCCCCTCCCCCCAATCTCTGGCCTGTGCCCCAGCTCTTGTAAGCGTAAATAAATAAATCTTTAAAAATATATATAATTCTCAGTCAGTTGGGGTTAGGTGGGTGTAGATGCCTTTTGAATAAAAGTTCCCAGCCTTGTGGAAACTTGTGTTCTTTACCATTATAGTTTCTTCACATGAGAGGGCACGCTGGCGTATGGCACAAGTTGTGGTTTTTCATCAGCCCGAATGAAGACTGCCAGAGAATCCGATACTTGGGTTACCTCAAAGCCTGATCCTGGCTCTCTGGGTACATTATAGTCACGACTGGGGCCAAAGGACTATTTGAGGGCATCCTAATCCCGCTTCTCGCTGGAGATCGCAGGTCACTTAGTCCTGCTCACCCCACACTCTCGACCCGCAGCCCTGCCCTCTCTCAGGCCCCAGGGCCCTCAATCTGCCAGCCAGGGGTTTCTGGGCTGGAGGTGCAGCCCTACCTCCCCCAACCTCCCAACTCTGCACCACTCCAGGTTCCAGTCGGCGGGAAAGGCTGGCGGGGTCATAGAGTCCCGCCCGCCCGGCGCCTAGAGCGCCCACAGCCACGCCCGCACCTCGAGCCCGCAGGCGACCCGCTTGGCCCCGCGACGCGACCCGCGCAGCCCCGGGAGCGGCGGGCCTAGTGGGGTGACGAAGGTCGGAAGTACCTGAGTCCTCGCAGGCCAGGGCGGCCACGACCTGGGGTCCTCACCGGGACGCGCTCAGCCAGGGGTGAGTACCTATGAGGCCCACCTCGGGGTGAGGGAAGCAGTGAGAGGCCGCCCTGCGCGTAGGGCCTAGCACCGAGATGGCAGTGACGCGTGGTGTGTGTGAGAGTGTGTGTGTGTGTGTGTGTGTGTGTGAGTGTGTACGTGCACGTGAGCAGGTGAGGTATGGCGAGGCCGAACCTCTTGTGGCCCGTGGGTGCGTTCTGAGGGAGGACTCGCCTGAGCCGTGGCGCTCACTCCCTGTCGTGCCTACGGTTGCATGTTTGCTGGGGGGAGAGAGGGGTTGAGAACAACTGCGACGTCACAGAAATATAAGAGGAAACCTAAAGGACGTGGGCATGCTGGCGCCAGAGTCTAGGAGCCATTCCCGCCCCCGCCCCCCAACCCTAGAGGGGGGGATGGGGCGGGGAACTGTGACTGCCTCCACCCGGGAACCAACACCTGCTGATCTGGCCAGAAAAATCGCTGGGCTCCAGGCTTTTTCTGATGTGGGGCATAATGTCTTACCATTCCTCAACCCCCACAAATCACCTTCAGCTCCAGGCTAACACCCCCATCCCTGCTCAGCCACAGCTGGCTTCCTAGCAATCAGTCCACCCGCCAGGCAACTGCCTGAGAAGAGTAGGTGCAAGTTCAGAGTCCCTCAGTGGACAGGCTGGCGGTGCCTGACCCCTCACCTGGCTCCTTTCCCGCAGTGTATTCACCTGGCTCCTCTCCCGCAGTGTATTAGAGCGGGACCTGTAGGCGTCAGGCTCCAGTGCCAGAGCTGTGGGCTGCTGGACGCTGAGTGGCCTTAGGAAAGTGAAATCACTGCCATCCGAGGCTGGTGAAAAGCACGTCCGGTAGCAATGGCTCTGCGAGTCTGTGGGCCGCAGTGTCACCTCCATGTACTTGAGCGTGCCATCTGAGCTCACTTGCAAGTTGGGGCTGGACTGCTTATAGAACTCCCGGGAAGGTGAGTCCTGGCGCCTGCAGCACTGGCCTCCACCCCCATCCCCATCTGCATGCCCCCGAAGGCACTTAGCTGACAGAAAGGTGAAGGTGACTAAGGATAAGAGACTGATGGCTGCAAGAGCCACAATGAGGTAAAGGGTAAGGTCTGAACGCTCAGGAGGGTGTGTGAGGAAGTCGCTAGATCTGGGCATTTCCTCTGGGTCCTCATCCTCCAGAACCAGCAGCACTGTTGCTGTTGAGGAGAGCGAGGGGTCCCCATTGTCCCTCACCAGGACCACCACCTGCTGGGTGTCAGAGTCTTCATCCAGTAAGGCCCGGGCTGTGCGCACCTCACCAGTATGTGCAGACACCAGGAACAGTCCCGGGGCTGTGGACTGTGGCAACAAAGAATAAGAGAGCCATGCATTGTGGCCTGCATCAGCGTCTACGGCTGTCACCTTGGTGACTAAGGAGCCAGGAGGAACAGAGCGAGGGAGACGCTGGGGGACTGACAGTTCCTGGCCTGGTCTTGGGTGCAGCACGGCTGGGGCATTATCATTCTGGTCCAGGATAAACACATGCAGAGATGTGTTGGCATACATTGGGGGAGAGCCAGAGTCTCGAACTCCCACCACGATCTGTAGCATCTGCAGCAGTTCATAGTCAAAGGTACGCTGGGCAAAGACCCGCCCATCTTCAGGGTTGACGTACACAAAGGAGGAGGCTGGAGCTCCCTGAATTTGATTCCCGACAATGGAGTAGGTGAGGCGGGCATTATCCCCGCTGTCTGGATCTGAGGCAGCCACGGTGCAGAGAAGGGAGCCTGGAGGCCGGTTTTCTGGGATGTAAGCAGTGTAGAGCTGCTGGGTAAAGTAGGGGGCGTTGTCATTAACATCTGAAATGTTGATCCTGATGGTGAGATGTGCATGCAGGGGAGGTGAGCCCCCATCCCTGGCCAGCAGCTCGATGATATAGTGGGGTCTGGTTTCGCGATCCAAGGGTTGGCTGGTTAGTAGCGAGTAGTGGTTTTCAGAAGGCTTAATCTGAAATGGCAGGTCTGGAGCAATCTCAAGGCTTACTTCACCGTTTTTCCCTGAGTCTCGGTCCCGCACATTGAACAATCCCACTACTGTGCCCACTGGTGTGCTCTCCAGGA